TTTTTAACCAGGTTCAGAGGTATAATTTATACAGAATAAAATTTATCCTTTTAATAAATAGGGTTACAAGTTTTGACAAACGTATGAAGTCATGCAATTACCAAGATATAGAACATTTCTATCATTTGTAAAAGTTCTGTAGTAAATCCCTCCCTTTTACCCCCACTTCCTGGGAAACAATGATCTGTTCTAGCTTTTCTAAAATGTCATATGAATGGAATCTGTGTGATGTTTTGTGTCTGGGTTCTTTCATTTAATACAATCCTTTTGAGATTACATCTATGCAGTGAGCATCAGTAGTTCTTTTCCTTTTTACTACTGACTAGTATTCAATGTATGGGTAAAACCACCATTTGTTTATCCATTAATCAACTAATGGATATTTGGGTTATTTCCATTTTTGAACTATCATGAATAAATCTGCTAGGAACATTTCAGTACAGATTTTTGTGTGTGCTTAAATTTCCAATTCTCTGGAAATTGGTTAGAAGAATTATGAATGTATTTATGTAAGAAACTGTCAACTGTTTTTCAAAGTGGCTATATGATTTCACATTTCCACCAACTAGTTATTCCACATCTTCACCTTTATTTAGTACTGGAAGTTTTTTTATTTTTTGTTTAAGCCATTCTAGTGCATGTGTTGTGGTAGCTGTCACTTTAATTTGCTTTTTCCTAATAACTAATGATTTGAGCATCTTTTCATATGCTTATTGGACAATCTTATATAATTTTTGATGAAATGTTTACTCAAATGCTTTGTCCATTTTTAGACTGACTCCTTATTGAGTTAAGAATTACATTAAGTAGTTATGACCATTTTATTATTCATATTTTTTATCTTATTTTTTTCTTCTTTTTCTTTAAAGAAGTCTCTTTAACATTTCTTGTAATACTGGTTTGGTGGTGATGAATTCCTTTTGCCGCTTCTTACCTGGGAAGCTCCTTATCTCTCCTTAAATGATAAATGATAGCTTTGCTGGGTAGAGTAATCTTGGTTACAAGTCCTTTCTTTTCTTCACTTAGAGTATTTCATGCCACTCCCTTCTGGTCTGCAAATTTTCTGTTCAGAAGTCAGCTGACAGTCTTAAGGGAGCTCTCTTGTACTAACTGCTTATCTCTTGCTACTTTTAAGATTCTCTTTGTCTCTAACCTTTGACGTTTTAATTATGATACACCTTGGTAGGAGCCTCTTGGGGTTTGTCTTATTTGGGACTCTTGTGCTTCCTGTATTTGTATGTCTTATTTCCTTCGCCAGGTTAGGGAAGTTTTTTGTCATTATTTCTTTTTAATCCTCACCCGAGGATATTTTTCCATATTGGTTGCCTCCTGCTCGAGCCCAGGGCCTGGGCTGGGGAGGAGCCTGCAACTGAGGTACATGCACTTGACCGGAAGTGAACCCAGGACCCTTTTGTCCACAGGCCAAGGCTCTATCCACTTAGCCAGGGCTGTCATTGTTTCTTTAAAGACGTTTCAATACCCTGTTCTCTTCTCCTTCTGTTACTCCTATGATGTGGATGTTGGCATGCTTGATGTTGTTCCAGAAGCCCCTTAAACTATCCTCATTTTTATTTTTTTAATCCTCATGCAAGGATATTTTTCCATTGATTTTTAGAGAAAGTGGAAGAGAGAGGGAAAGACAGAGAGAAACATCAATGTGAGAGAAACACATCGATTGGTTGCCTCCTGGATGCACCCTGAACAGGGCCTGAGCTGGAGAGGAGCCTACAACTGAGGTTCATGCCCTTGACTGGAAATGAACCTGGGACACTTTGGTCCACAAGCTGACACTCTATCCACTGAAGCAGACTGGCTAAGGCTATCCTCATTTTTTAAAATATTTTTTTCTTTTGCCTGTTCTGATTGGGTGCTTTCTGCTTCCTTTTTCTTTCAAATTGCTGATTTGATTCTCTTCTTCATCTACTCTACTATTCCCTGTAATGTATTCTTCATTTCAGTTAGTGTATTCTTCATTTCTGATTGGTTCTTTCTTAAGTTTTCTATCTTCATTTTTATGTTCTCTATGTTTTAAAAAAATGTTTAAAAATTGATTTCAGAGAGGAAGGGACAGGGAGAGAGAGAAAAAAATCAATATTGAGGGAGAATCATTGATCGGCTGCCTCTTGCATGCCCTCTATTGGGGATTGAGCCTGCAACTTGGGCATGTTTTCAGAGCCTGAAGTTATGGGGACTTTGCTTCCTGATCAGGAATTGAACCAGGACCTCCTGGCTCATAGGTCAATGCTCAGCCACTGAGCCACACCGGCTGGGCTGTTTTCCATCTCTTTATTAAAGTTCTCACTGAGTTCATCTACTCTTCTCCTAAGTTCACTAAGCATCCTTATAACCAGTGTTTTGAGCTCTGCAAGGTAGATTGCTTATCTCCATTTTGCTGAGTACTTTTTCTTGAGTTTTGTTCTGCTCTTTCATTTGAGACATGTTTCTTTGTCTCCTCATTTTGATGGACTCTGTTTGTTTCTATATATAAAGTAAATCTGCTATATCTCCTGGTCTTGATAGAGTGGCCTTATGTAGTAGGTGCCCAATGGGGCCTGGTGGTACAGTCTCCCTGGTCACCTGAGCAGGTGCTCCAGGTGTGTTGCTTCCTGCTGTAGTTGAGCCTTGATTCCTGTTAGCACATCAATGAGAGGGACTGACCCTCAGGCTGACTGGAGGAATGACCATGATTACAGTGGAGTTGTTGTGCAAACGCTGACCCCATGGAGCAGGAGTCACTTAAGTGGAGCTCTGGCACCTGCTAAGTCTGCCCTCTGGGTGTGTGGTTTGTGGAGGTGGTTGGATGATGCTCTGGTGTGGTCTGAACCTGACCACTAGGTGTGTTAGTTCTGGGTCCTCTTGGGAGGGGTTCTGGTATAGGCCAAGGTCAGCTGCTGCCTGTGCCTGGCCTTGGGTCATCTGACATGAACTACAAAGTGATCTGCAGAAGGTTGCCACTTACTGGGCTTGGAGGTGCCTAGCGAGGCTAAGCTTGGAACCAAGGCCAGCATCCATTACTGCCAATTATTGGGCAGCTTATGGCTGAGGCCAGCTGCTGCTTGTTTGGGGTTTTGTGAACCTTTGAGACATTTTAGGAAAAGTCCTCAGAGTGACCTGACACTAGCCATTTGTCTGGAAAAGCCACTGGAAGCGGTTTGGGGGAGCCTGCAAGTTAGGTGGGCAGGGTCTTATGGAATCACCAAGTGAACGTGTTAGCCAGGTTGATGGAGACAGCAGGCTCTGTGGGGGGAGGGCTTAACAAAGGAAAATGTGTCTGCCTGCAATTCTATCTGGGAGAAAGCTACCCCTTCAGCCCTTCCTCTGAAGCCAGATAATTTAATTCTTCCTGATAAGTCCCTGGCACTTTTCTAGCTGCTGGAGCTTAGAGTAAGTGAGTCTGTCACTGATTAAGTCCATGCAGGCACTTTAGAGCAGGGGTGGGGAACCTTTTTTCTGCCAAGGGCCGTTTGGATATTTATAACATAATTTTCAGGCCATACAAAATTATCAACTTAAAAATTAGCCTACTATATTTGGTCAAATTAACTCACCCCTAATGCCCTGGCAGGGCCAGACCAAATGATTTTTCGGTCTTATATGGCCTGGAGGCCGGACATTCTCTACCACTGCTTTAGAGGAACACCTGGGACTCCTGCAGCCCTTTATCTCACTCAGCCACAATCCCTGATGGTTTTCAGAGCCAGAAGTTATGGGAACTTTGCTTCCCCAAACTAAAACCCTGGGATGGAGGAGTCTATTGTGAGGCTGGGACTCCTTACTCCTCAGGGGGGATCTCCACAGTAAAGATATCCCTCCTGTTTCTTAATGGCCACCATAGTTGTGGGGCCTGCCTGTTTCATGTGTCAATCCCTTCTACCAGTTTCCACATAGCTTCTTTTGTATATCCTTAGTTTTCAGACTTCTGTTCAGCTAATCTTCAGGCAGTTCTTAATGATGGTTGTTCTATATTTTAGTTGTAATTATGATGTGCATGGGAGGAGGTGAGCACAGCCTTTACCTATTCTGCCATCTTGACAGGAATTCTATTTTTATATTTTACTTTTTAATGGCTCACAATACTCCATCATAATAAATTTTAAATTGTAGATAAAAGATCTAAAATCAGCATATTTATTGAATGGGAATGCTATTGCTAAAGAAATGCTTAAAAGAGTAGACTTTATTCTTAGGGCTAATTTTTTCCTTTATTTATATTACTAACTTTTAACCAGCTCTATTTTACTTTTTCTTCTTTTTTTCCCTTTAATCCTCTCCCATGAATATTTTTCTTTTTTTCTTTTTTCCAATCCTCACCCGAGGATATTTTTCCACTGATTTTTAGAGAGACTGGAAGAGAGAGGGAAAGACAGAGAGAAACACTGGTGTGAGAGAAACACATCGATTAGTTGCCTATTGCACGAGCCCTGACTAGGGCCCGGGCTGGGGAAGAACATGCAACCGAGGTACATGCCCTTGACCGGAATCGAACCCGGGACCCTTCGGTCTGTAGCTGATGCTCTATCCACTGAGCTAAACTGGCTAGGGCTAACCAGCTCTATTTTATATAGAAACTACAAAGGTAAACTTAAGTTCTATATGGCTGAATTTGTCACATAATCAAAATGCATACAATTAGGAATTTTTAAAGTAAAATTTAATTTACTAATAACTATAATTAAAACAGAATTCTTAAACAATAAACACTGATATAACATTACTCTCACATAGGTGCCTTTAGGCACAGCAGTATGTATATATTCTTGGGGATTTGGGAACCAAATGGATGATAAAACCATGACAGACATTCTCCATATACATCCCTCTGCCCATTTCTTCAAGTCATTAGAGTTTCTCAGCTTCAGTCTTCAGTGGTATTCTTCTCTACCACTTGCCTTGAGTGATTTCCTCTACATTTATGGTTTTACAATCCCTCTATATGCTAAAGAAGGCTTTTTTCTTTAATATTTATTTTAAGTTTTAAGGAAGATTACTCAAGTACTCACCAACCCATAGGTCCCATTGTTTCTGCTCTTGTTTTCCCACGTTTTGCCTCTTTAAGCAGTTCTTCTATTGCTTTCCTGGTAGGAAAAAGGAAGAAATTTGAGAGGTAGTCACCCCACTAAATTCTAAAAATCAACTGTATGTGATTATTGGAAAGGAACAGCTCTGAAATAAATTTTCAAAATTGAGGGAGAAATTTTTTTTGTAAATGGTTGATAGTTTTGAACACAAAAATTTAAAAAAACCACTTTTTATATGATGCAGAAAAACGAAAAACTAAAGACAAAATGACAAACTATATCCATATTAAAAATGTTCAAATACATTATTTTTCTAAGAAATATAAATTAACCCAACAATAATGAGACTGTTTTTGTCATCTGTGAGGGAGTAGAGAAATGGATATTCTTTTCTCTACTAATGGGGACTGAAACTGACATAACATTTCTAGAGGACAATTTGATAACATGATAGAGTTTTAAAAATAATGCATACCTGCTGACCTAAAAATTCCACCTTATCCTATGAAATACTGAAATAAGTATGCAAAACTATATGTATGAAGACAGTCATTAAACAACTTTTTAACAACTGAAGAAAAATAGAAAACTTAAATGTTTACTAAAAAAGGCTTAGCTAAGTGGCATATCCATATAGTAGAAGACATCCTGGCTGATATGGCTCAGTGGTTGAGTGTTGACCTATGAACCAGGAGTTCATGGTTCAATTCCCTGTTAGGGCATATGCTGGGTTTTGGGTTTGATCTCCAGTAGGGGGCATGCAGGAGGCAGCAGATCAATAATTCCCGGATTGTGAGAGGGATCCCAGATTGGAGAGGGTGCAGGCTGTGGTGAGGGACACCCTCCCCCAGTGCACGAATTTCGTGCATTGGGCCTCTGGTAAATAATAAGTTAAGAAAAAAAAAGGGCCCTAACCGGTTTGGCTCAGTGGATAGAGCGTCAGCCTGTGGACTCAAGGGTCCCAGGTTCGATTCCGGTCAAGGGCATGTACCTTGGTTGCAGGCACATCCCCAGTAGGGAGTGTGCAGGAGGCAGCTGATCGATGTTTCTCTCTCATCGATGTTTCTAATTCTCTATCCCTCTCCCTTCCTCTCTGTAAAAAATCAATAAAATATATTTAAAAAAAAAAAGAAAAAAAAGAAAAAAAAAAGGGTAGAAGGGTGCAAACAAATATAGCTTTGGTCCGAAGGCAGAACTATAAATCTAATTAGAATGTTTTGAAACTGGATAACTATATATTGATTCTATATAAAAACATTTAATTACCAATCATATTCTGGGACTGTTATAGTACTATTATAGATACTATCTACTATTTCTCAAATGATATTAACATTCTGTTAGCTTATAAAAATATTTTATTTTATATTTATTTCATCAAAGCATGCACATAGCTTAAAAAGACAAATACTAGCCCAACTGGTGTGGCTCAGTGGTTGAGTATTGACTTATGAACCAGGAGGTCATGGTTTGATTCCCAGTCAGGGTGCCTGCCCGGATTCCAGGCTCAATCCTCAGTGTGGGGTATGCAGAAGGCAGCCAATCAATGATTCTCTCTCATCATTGATGTTTCTATCTCTCTCTCCTTCTCCCTTTCTCTCTGGAATCAACAAAACTATATTAAACAAACAAACAAACAAAAGGACAAATACTATTTAAAGACTCATAATAAAATGTAGCAGTCTTGTGTATCATTTGTCCCTATCCACCAAAAAAATTTTCAACAATTTTAAATCTGTTTCTCTTGGCATTTACTTACATATACCTAATAGTATGCTTTCAAACTGTTCATCACCCTCTTAATATTCAACAGATATATCTGGCTATTTTTCTGTAACTTACACATTTTTCAATAAACTTACTAATAGTAAGATCTTTAAAAAATGCCTTTTCAGGTAACTCAGCAGCATGACACTTTCTAATCCATTCTGGGAGGACCCACTGACAGGGTCAATGAAGAACTGAAACATTGACCAACTGTGCACCTTCTTACCCCCCAACTTGCTCAATGAAGTTATGTTTCACAGCCCAGCCTGTTGGTATGAGTTGATAAATGCATCTGATTACCACACAAGCTTCTCCTTCCACCTCTTTAAAATAAGAATACTACACTCTATTGATGTGATCTGAGGGCTTGCCTCATACAGTATTTCATAAAAAATTTATCCTATCCAGCTCTGAAACAGGGATCTTTTTTTCATCCTTATAGATGTAAGTACAAAATATCAAAGGATAAGAATATTCCAAATATACCTCCTTATTCCCATCAATTAGTGTGGTATTTTCCAAATAAAAACAGGTAGTCAATCATATTTGGATTCACCCATGTGCTCTTTCTCCTCCTGACATCAAAAGCAATTCTACATAATAAAGGCTAATATGCAAATAGACTGAACGGCAGAACAACTGAACAATCAGTTGCTATGACGTGTGCTGACCACCAGGGGGCGTGCACGGAGCATGGTGGGCATCGGCAGCAGGCGGTAAAGCATGGAACATGGCGGGTGTTGGCCGTGGCGAGATGGTGGAGCAGGTGAGCAGGGGTGCCAGACCAAGGCGAGGCGCCGGTCGTTGTCATCGGGGTGAGCCTCTGGTGGTTACTGAAAATTCTTTGTTCCCACGCGCCATGGTCCCGCCCAGCGCTCACACCCGCTGCTAGCGCTGGAGCTCACACCTGCTGCTGGCGTCTGGCGCTGGCCCAATTGCTTGGTGCCGTCAGTGAGTGTGAGCGGTGTCTGCCAGCCCCAATTGCCCCTGAGGGCTTCTCCACCTCCCCCTTCTCCTGAGGAGCAATCGGGGCAGCTGCTGCCACTCGCACCCGCTGATGATGCCAGCAGCGGGTGCGAGTGGGGCTGGCGCCATCAGCACATGGGAGCAGTGGCGGCAGGAGCAGGGCTGCCAGCAGAGAGGGGACCAAGGTCCATGGCAGGAGGGGCCAGGCAGGGGCGCAGAGTATGGGCCGAGACCCACCCCTGTGCCCACCACAGCCTCGCGGCCCACAGTTCCTTTCAAGGTGCACGAATTCGTGCACTGGGTCCCTAGTTAAAAAATAATTAAGGAAAAACTTGTTTGGACAGTTCCCCAATATGAATAAACTATGTATCCATTATAAATAAACTAGAATGCATTTTCCCATAAAAACTTGGTTAAAATATTTGGTTAGCTTTCTGGACAAGCCAATTTGTGTCATAATACAGCTGGAATGCTATATGTCTGCAGGAAACAATACTCAGTCAGGAACTTTGTAGGGACCCTGAAGGTATATTCCAGGCACTGTCTAAAGCAGGGGTCCTCAAACTATGGCCCGCGGGCCACATGCAAATACAAATATTGTATTTGTTCCCGTTTTGTTTTTTTACTTCAAAATAAGATATGTGCAGTGTGCATAGGAATTTGTTCATAGTTTTTTTTTTAAACTATAGTCCGGCCCTCCAACGGTCTGAGGGACAGTGAACTGGCCCCTGTTTAAAAAGTGTGAGGACCCTGGTCTAAAGCTATGAAGTTTGACACTGATTCTTTGGTAGTTCTGATTTATTTAAAACTATCTCCAACACTGTTGTTAACTTTATTTGCTGCGATAAAGGAAACTTTCTGATTTACAACTACAATCAAAGGGAAAAGAAGGTATATGCATCAGAAAAAATGCCTGAGGTGAAACGAAGTCATCTGTGTTGAAAGATGATAAAAGGTGGGGCTCAACTGGATGGGGATGGCATTTAGACATCCCCGTCTTTTCATGGGTAAAGCCCACAACAAATGTGGGAAGCAGTACCCCATACATATGGTTGGGGTTGACCCAAGGTATGGATTTATAATTGATTTGACTAACTTGCCCAAGGTAATATTGCTAATGATCAGAGAAGAGGAGAAACAAAAGGACCCATGTGTTTATGGCTACGAATCTCCTGGTCTATTATACTTCCTATCTCTTCCACAAACATTTGCACAGCAAGTCCCAGAGAAGACATTTTCTCTTTATCATTAAAAGAGGCAAAAATAAAATGCATGAAAAAAAACAACAAAAGTTTTAATAGAGTTACCATTGCTTCCACACTCATTCGAGGAGAACTGGGTGACATGGTGATCCTAGAGGGCAGAAGGAATGAAGGACTGCTCACTGCTTTGTCCTAAGAATGTTGAGCATTCGCTACCTCCCACCCCAAATTCTCCTGTACAAGCCTTCTGCAAGGCTTAATTTCCAAGAAGGAAAACAATTCCTAGCAATTATGTAGTCCTTTCTTGAAATAACATCACCTTCAAAATTAAGGAGGAAAAATAGAAAGTCAGCCAGTTTTCCTTACTACTGTAGCCTGGAACATTCGCTAATGAATTCCTGGGTAAGGAGATAGCAAGTCCATTTTCTATTGCACATTTTCAGAGGCTAAATACTTAAATTAGCAAAGATTATGAAACATCAACATCATGCAAAAAAGTGGTTTTTAATGAGATGATGAAACAGTTTAATCTAAAATGAAAATACAGGAAAAGCAAATAGGAGAATATATAAGAACTAAGTACATAAAGAATATGAACAATTAAAACATCAATTTAACTTTAGGTACAGTAATTTCTATACTTTATCCTTTAAGCATCTTAAAGTTTTTTTTGTAAAACAAATTTATTTTATTAGAATATAAACTTTAATAAAAACAAGAAATTCAAGAAAGCTAGATCATTAAGCAGACAGTATTCTGGGCACAGGAACAAACTACAATCAATTTTCAATGATCCATCCTAGCTCAGCTTCCTCAGGCCTGCCTATTTGTTCCATTAGCCAGCTGGTACATGCTTAAGGAATGTAAACTAATCATAATAGCAGCTTAAATAAATCCCAAAGGGGAATGCAAATCCAGTGCAAAATCATCTTAAAAATCCAAAGTCTAACAAATTACTTTTGAGTTATCTGGGTCTGTGTTTCTTTTCATTCTCACAAATCAATTGAGAGTTAACTATATCGGGATACAGAAAGGATAGCAGGAAATTTAAAGCAATTGAATTGACACAACAGAAATTGAAAGGCAAATATAATAATGAACAAAAGAGAGACTTTTAAAGAAATAAAATCAGAAGAGCTAAATATCAAGTAATTGTTCAAAAGATAGAGACAGGGACTTAAATGGATCTACTTACACTTTCTTAAGAAATGAAGGAAAGTGTTATGAACTGAATGTTTGTATCACCCACAAAATTTATATATTGAAATCCTAACCCCAACTGGACACTGCGACCTGCTGCCCCAAACCAAAATGTCTGGCCCAGTGCCCCTGGATAACTGGCCCCACTGCCTTGATGTAGTATGCTCAGCCCTGCCACCATGACCCAATGCTACCAGATACATGAACCTGACATTGTGACCCACTGTGTTTTACCCAGTGCCCCTGGGCAAATGACGCTGCTGCCTAATACTGCCTGGTAGACATAAACTGATGCCCCCACCCCACTCCCTGGATGCACGGACCTGCCACAGAGACAGGACATGCCTAACTTGGTGCCACCAGAAGATTAGATATACCGCTGTGATTTGGTGAAACCAGTTACCTCTGAACACACAAGACCCGCCACTGTGAACGCACCCGCCTCACACAGCTCCCCAGACTAATGGACTGCTAACACGGGAAGACAAAGAAACAACCCCCAATGAAAGAAAAGGAGGAATCACCAGCAAAGGAACTAAATGAAATGGTGGCAAGTAATTTGTTGGATAAAGAATTCGAAGTAATGGTTATAAGGATGCTCAAACATCTGAATAAGAATTACAAGCAACTAAATGACAATTATAAGGAGTTGAATAATAAAAAAAAACACACGAACATGAATAAGAATCAAGAGGAAATGAAGAATGACATCCTATCTAATAATAGACAAACATGGTAATTAACCATACCTCCGCTACACTTCCCATTGGCTAATCAGCAGGATATGCAAATTAACTTCCAACCAAGATGGCGGCCGGCAGCCACGCAGCTGAAGCGAACATGAGGCTTGCTTGCTCCAGTGATGGAGGAAGCCAAGGTTCCCCGCCTGCGTGGCCGGGTTCTGAGCTCCAGTCTAAGCAACAATGTTGCAATTATAGAAGCTAAACAAACCCCAGAAACCTGCTTTCAGCCAGCCGGCCTCGGAGCTGGAGCCGCAACAAAGTTTCAATTACAGAAGGTAAATAAATCCAGGAATAAAAAGAAAAAAAAGAAATAAAGGAGAGACTGGGAGCTTCAGTTGCAGGCTTGGCCCACCTGAAAACAGACCTCAGCCCCTCATCCAGGCTGGCCAGGCACCCCAGTAGAGACCCCCACCCTGAAGGGAGTGCAGGCAGCCTGAAAACAGCCATCAGTCCCTCATCCAGGCTGGCCAGGCACCCCAGTGGGGACCCCGACCCGGAAGGGGTTGCGGGCAGCCTGAAAACAGCCATCAGCCCCTCATCCAGGCTGGCCAGGCACCCCAGTGGGGACCCCCACCCTGAAGGGGGTGCGGGCAGCCTGAAAACAGCCATCAGCCCCTCATCCAGGCTGGCCAGGCACCCCAGTGGGGTCCCCCACCCTAAAGGGGGTGCGGGCAGCCTGAAAACAGCCATCAGCCCCTCACCCAGGCTGGCCAGGCACCCAAGCGGGACCCCCATCCTGATCCGGGATACCATTCAGGGCAAACCAGCCGGCCCCCACCCGTGCACCAGGCCTCTATCCTATATAGTAAAAGGGTAATATGCAAACTGACCCTAACAACAGAAAGACTGGGAATGACTGGTCATTATGACACACACTGACCACCAGGGGGTAGACGCTCAATGCAAGAGCTGCCCTCTGGTGGTCAGTGCGCTCTCACAGGGGGGAGCTCTGCTCAGCCACAAGCCAGGCTGATGGCTGCCAGTACAGCGGTGGTGGTGGGAGCCTCTCCTGCCTCCTCAGCAGCGCTAAGGATGTCCGACTGCAGCCTAGGCCTGCTCCCCGCTGACAAGTGGACATCCCCCGAGGGCTGCCAGGCTGCCTGAGGGATGTCTGACTGCCAGCTTAGGCTGAATCCCCAGGGGAGCAGGCCTCAACCAGCAGGTTGTCATCCCCCAAGGGGTCCCAGACTGAGAGAGGGCACAGGCTGGGCTGAGGGACCCCCAACCCCCGAGTGCACAAATTTTTGTGCACCAGGCCCCTAGTCTACACTAATAAAAGACAAAGATGCTAATTGACCATACCTTCGCTAGGCCCAAGCCATGCCCACCAGCCAATCAGAGCGACTATATGCAAATTAACCCAACCAAGATGGCGGCCGGCAGCCACAGAGCTGGAGCAAGCAGGAGGCTTGGTTGCCCCGGCGATGGAGGAAGCCAAGCTTCCCGCCTGCTCTGGCCGGCTGTGGCCTCTGCAAAAGGCAACAAAGTTTCAATTATAGAAGCTAAATAAATCCAAGATACCTGCTTCCAGCCAGCCTCCACTGGGAGCTTGGGTGGCTGGGGGCTGTGGCCAGCCTGCAAACAGCCATCAGCCCCTCACCCAGGCTGGCCAGGCACCCTAGTGGGGACCCCTACCCTGAAGGGGCCATGGCCAGCCTGCAAACAGCCATCAGCCCCTCACCCAGGATGGCCACACCCTCAAGGGGTGAGGGTCCCCGCTGGGGGGCTTGGCCAGCCTGCAAACAGCCATCAGCCCCTCACCCAGGCTGGCCAGGCACCCCAGCAGGACCCCCACCCTGAAGGGGCTGTGGCCAGCCTGCAAACAGCCATTAGCCTCTCACCCAGGCTGGCCAGGGCACCCCAGCAGGGACCCCCCTCCCTGAAGGGTGTGTGGCCAGCCTGAAAATGGTCCTCAGCCCCTCACCCAGGCTGGCCAGGCACCCCAGTGGGACCCCACCCTGATCTGGGACACCCTTCAGGGCAAACCAGCTGGACCCACCCATGCACCAGGCCTCTATCCTATATAATAAAAGGGTAATATGCAAATTGACCCTAACAGCAGAGCAACTGGGAATCATTGGTCACTATGACACACACTGACCACCAGGGGGCAGACGCTCAATGCAGGAGCTGCCCCCTGGTGGTCAGTGTGCTCCCACAGGGGGAGCTCTGCTCAGCCACAAGCCAGGCTGACGGCTGCCAGTACAGTGGCGGTGGTGGGAGCCTCTCCCACCTCCTCAGCAGCGCTAAGGATGTCCGACTGCAGCTAGACCTGCTCCCCGCTGGCAAGTGGACATCCCCCGAGGGCTGCCAGGCGGATGTCTGACTGCCAGCTTAGGCCCAATCCCCAGGGGAGCGGGCCTAAGCCAGCAGGTGGTCATTCCCCGAGGGGTCCCAGACTGAGAGAGGGCACAGGCTGGGCTGAGGAACCCTCCCGAGTGCACAAATTTTTGTGCACCGGGCATCTAGTAGCTGTTATAAAGACCACCCTAGAAGAATTCAACAGTAGACTAGAGGAGGATGAGGGCCACACCAGTGAGTTAGAAAACAAGGTCGAAAAACACACACAATCAAAGCAGCAATTGGAAAAGAGTTTAAGGGAACTTTGGGACAACATGAGATGAAACAACGTCCACATAATAAGGGTGCCAGAAGGAAAAGAAGCTGAGCAAGGACCAGGAAACCTGTGTAAAGAAATAATGACAGAAAATTTTCCTGACTTGGTGAAGAAAAAAGTCATACAAATCCAGGAAGCACAGAGTCCCAATCAAGATGAACCAAAAAAGACCTACACCAAGACACCATAATTAAAATGACAAAGACAAAGAAAGAACCTTAAAGGCTGCAAGAAAGAGACAGAAAGTTACCTACAGGGGAACTCCCATTAGACCAGCGGTTCTCAACCTGTGGGTTGCGACCCCTTTGGCGGTCAAACGACCCTTTCACAGGGGTCGCCTAAGACCATCCTGCATATCAGATATTTACATTACGATTCATAACAGTAGCAACATTACAGTTATGAATTAGCAATGAAAATAATTTTATGGTTGGGTCACAACATGAGGAACTATATTTAAAGGGCCAGAAGGTTGAGAACCACTGCATTAGACTATCAGTTGAGTTCTCAATAGAAACACTTCAGGCTAGAAGGAGTGGCATGAAGTCTACAAAATAATGAATACTAAGGAACTGAATCCAAGACTACTCTATCCAGCAAGGCTATCAT